ATAATTTTGATGCCTCCCAATGATCTCCCCCGATCAGTGATCAGTCGCATTCACACTTTTTGCACAAATTCTGACAAAAAACCGTACTGTAGCAAGGTTACAGCACAGTAAATAGGCTTACAGATCCGCGCATCGATTGCAGCCCACCATCGATCGTCTACTTTCAACACGTCCTTACGGCGCGTTGCAATTTGCAGTGCACTGCATCGGCTCGGCTCGTGGCACGGGTTTCGGAAGGCTCGAAGAAAGCGGGATGACGAGCCCATGCAGTGCACTGACTCGGCACGGCATGCCCCGAGCCGAGTCAGTGGACTGCGTCGTTATGGCTCGAGCCAGCACGACCTGACTCGTGCTATCAAATTGTCACCCGCTGCCAATCTGGAAAAGATGAACGAGGGGTCGAACAGTGCTAGAGGGGTGATCAACCAGGGCCCAAGAGGCCCGGAATTTCCCAAACCGCTGCACATAGAGGGATTAACATAGGGTCTTCTTTTATTGCACGTAGTTATGTTATTAGTGGCATGTACCGGCTTGCATTTTCGCTCGCATGTCGTTTAGCAAGCCGACTATACTGGAAACTCTTAGGGCTGCCAAAGCGTATAACTTCATGATATTTAGGGTTGATGCCTCCCGAGTCGCATCAATTTCCGAATGGGTAATATATTTTTCCAGTGCGTCTCGATCGGGTAGGTGATATTTATCACCCAGAAAATAATATGTTATAAGTAATCACGATTTGATCCGCCGAACTTTACTTCCAGAAGAAGGCGATGCGTGCACTGTACTAGACGGCGGTCAAAACTCTCAATAAAAAACATGAATACACAGTTTGGTTTTTCTAGCAAATATCTTTTACTTCCGGTTCGGCAATTTGGTTCTTCTAGGGAACCTCGATCGCGTCACAAATAGCACGCGGAAATTTCGAGGTTCCCGAGGCGCGAGTCTGGCACGATCTGGCTCGTGCCACCCCAAAACGAGCCGATGCAGTGCGTCGAAAATTGCAACACGCCGTTATGTGCCTTCCTTCCCACCGCTATGTACATCTTGTTCTCGCTAATTTCACACCCCCAAATCCCGAACCGCGCAAATTTTTAATGGGAGGGTGTGAAATTATACGGGCAAAAAAAGGTCCCAATAATTTCACAGACAGTCGCGAATTTGTTGTGCTGACTGGGCTTCAAAATGCAAGAACAGGTTGACGAACTGAGGACTTCGTGCTGACAAGACTAGAGTTGAAAATAGATGTTGACAGATTCTCCGATTTTTAACCCCAATGAAAGATGAGCAGGTCGAGCTGCTTATCTTAATTCGGACCAGTCAGATCGACTAAACTTAGTTTCAGATATTCCTCGTTTTTCATGGGTCCTCAGGCTGGTTACTGGAGTACCTTAACCCCAAATTCATTAATTAGAGCTTTGTAGAATGACACACTTTGTAGAATGACACACAGAATGACTACGTTACTTGCTATGAAATTAGACGCGACCTAGGCTGAACCCAGCAACCCCGTTCCACCCCACTCCTCGGAGTATAAAACGCCCTCATTCTCGCATTTCCATCCAGTGATGCTCGACCACGCTTCGCCAGCTTGGCAGCCCTAAGGCTTTGCCGAAGTAGCCGAAGAGCGGTGTGAAATTAAGGGGTGTGAAACTATCGAGAATTGGGTGGATTTGCCACCAGCGATACCCCCTCACAAAATCCACCAATTCCCGCAATAGTTCTACTGGCACGTCCCTCCATCCAAATCCACCGCGCTTTGAACCCAATAAAACGCACTGAACCGCTCTATGTTACGCCTTTTTCGCCTTGTTCGCAAATGCCCTCGTTCCCACCTTTCCCACCATCACCCACCTCCCCCTGATTTTGCTGAACGGAGTTAGTACAAGGCGTTGCCGCGTATTACGCCTTATTTTGGCAACCTGCCGCCTTTGTCTTGCTTGCTAAGCCGTCGTCACCAGCGACAGGCAGCGCAAGATCGCAACTAGCCAGTGGGCACACCTCCTCTTTCGGAGTCCATCAATCTGCACCGCACATCCGAAGCACAGGGTTCTACCGCCTTCCAACTCCCAAGTCCCGCCTTCCAAAACTACCGCGCTTCGAACAACGCAACCGCACCACACCGCTCCAGTTTCCGTCCCGTGACTCTGCCTTCCTAGCTTCCCCCAACCGCCCTCCTTCCCACCTTCCCCTCCCCACCCATCACCCACCTCCCCCTGACCTAGCAGACTACTGCACCGCCAGGATCGAAGGTCCAATATCCTCCCAGCCACCGCACTGAAACCACGCTTATCGTCTCTGAAACCCACAGAACCAACTCAACCCCGTCAAAAAACGAACCCGAGGGAGATGAATCCCGTAAATTATTTACTTCACCACGTCATTATTACAGGCGTTGCCGCGTGTTACGCGTGCTGCTGACAGCATTTAATTGATAGCACGGTTTTGTTCGGTGCGTTAGGACCAAATTGTTGAACATGCATCATCCCTCTCCCACGGTCCCAACCTCCCTTCCTCCTCGCCATTTGGCTCACTTCCTCCTCGCCATTTGGCTTCATCTCCCACCCAGCGAATCCGCCACTGGCGGGGACAGCTCACAGCTGCTGTATCTGCCGTATTCTCTCTTCTGCAGGAACACGCACCATCTTTTGCTCAGCATTTTCGACAGCACCCCAACATACACCCGGATGCTCGACAAATCGCCTACTCAAATCATGTCCCACATACCCCCGACACTGGGACCAGTTGGGTTTCACAGGCAACGGCCCGCAGATCACGGACCCACGGGCAGGGGTGGTTGGCCCACGCTAAGGCCCGATGAAAACGGACAGAAAGATAAGCATCTGCACACAGGAAACCTAGTGGGCTTCAAGAGGCCCAACTTGCCTGTGAACGAAGCGCGATGAAGAATTTTAACTGCCAGGAGAAAAGCGGGCCTCTCTCGAGCATCAGGTGCATATTTAGCTTCACGAATCATCCCGAAAGCATGCGCCGCAAGCGTTCAAAAAAAGCGTTCCCTAAGGGCCACAAGCACCTGGTGGTCGTCGTGGTGAGTCGTGGCTCTTCCCGTGCCGCGCAACAGCAAGCTTCCGCGGCAGAATAGCGAAGCAGAGAACGCTGCTGGCGACAGCAATGAATAGCGATCGCCGATTCCGGTGTTGCACCTGTTAGCCGCGTAGTTCCTATGAAATAGCTCCTGGTTGAGAGTTACTTCGTCGACTCTCAAGTGAATTTTCCATTGCAAAGCCACCACCAGAACCAGAAGAGGTTCCTCCATCGTAGCACAAGCTTCTCGCTTCCATATTACCATTAGATTATCCTCCCTCTGTCATGGCTCGCAGTGCAAGTCTCTACCCAATGTCAGAGCATTGGGGCGAGACCTGGAATGCAGCGCAATCGTCGGTCTTATCAAATCCTAAAAACGCCCTCACCGAGACAAATACACACATCGTCGCACCTGTTGCCGTCGCAGTCGCGGACGGCGGCGCATCCTCGAAAGACCCCCAACTCACCGACGGGAACCTGCGTCCTATTGATGTCGCTGCCGCGACGCGTCATGACGGCTTAATCTCGGCCGTCAATGACGGTGCACGCGGCGCCGGTTCGTTCGAGATAACAGACTCTGATATCGATATTATCGTGGCGCTCGATATGCGCTGGAACAACCTCGACGATTCTCAGCCAGACGGTGCTGTATACAGCGGTGCTGCTGTCAATTGCGACGGAAATGGCGGAAGTGGCGGAACTGCCAGCGGCGGCTGCCACGTCGGCGATCTGCGACGAAGCTCCAGCTCCGCGAGCAGTGTCGACAGTAGCGACGGCGGTGCCGGCGGCAGCGGCGGAAACATTTGCTTTGATATGACGAAAATTACAGGCACACGCAAAAGAAAGCTCCTAGCGGATTCGTGCGACCTGTTCCCGAGCTTTGTTCATCAAAATCCGTCAGCGGGATTCGAACCCGCGTCTGAAACGCAGTCTCCAGCCAAGCGGAAGCGGCGTGAATTTCTACCGTCGCTGGTCACCGATCGTGATGTGGATCTTTGGCTTGTGGACATTATGAGTGTCTTGCGACGACAGAACGATACGGGTTATGCTACTTTCGCGCCTTCGTCAGCTTCTGCCTTTTCTCCTGAACATATTGATTTGAAAATAAGCCTTCAACATCCATCTTCACAAGGCATCATCTTCAACGATGCGGTTTTGCTGCTTGATTTCTCGGCGCGTGATTCAAGTGTAACAAGCCAGCTGTACGCTGATGGATGTAGTACGACGAAGAGGCTGGATGTGGAGCAATCTAAAGGTGAGGCGGATGATGGTGCATATGTGGCGCTATTGGAAGTGCAGATTGCGGCGATGGTGCCGGAAGTGCTAGAAGAGATGGATATGGCGATTATGTTGGATCTTGATGCATGTGACTACAGCACCACTAACCTCCACTTGTACCACTCATAGCTGTTTTGCAAACCATTACTTCCAAACCCGTAACTGTATCTAGCGAATCATGTGCGAATTTCTAATAACGAGGTAGTCGTCAGAGATTGGAGGGTTTTCATTCAACGTGACCTGCTTGCCTGTCATATTGGGACATCTGTCTGGCAGCTACGTCATCCGTGTTGATTTTGCTCCGCTGGCTATTTGTAGGCATCAGTAACCAGAGGCAGGGTGTCGCTCAAGCTTCTTCGAAATACGTGTGCGAAGACAGATTCTTTCGAGGAACCAAAACCTTTGCGGTTGCGACATGTAACCCAATGGCAAAAACCTCTCTCGAGAAAGCCATCGCCAGTCGCGAGAGGATCACCTGCAGCTGTGTGTGTTGTGCGCGCTGAACATTCTTCTTACAGTAGCAGGTTTCACATGTATCTTTTCAAATGCTCTGCTAGGTTTCGACATAGGATGTGGTAGTCAGCACGAGATTCTGCAATTTATTGACATTCGACAGGCCCACAGGGGTTCATTTGAGTATCCCGCCTTCGATCCGTCCGCTAGTAATTACTGCGTTTACTATGGCCTTAGACCTTTCTTGCCAGCCATTTAGCTTGCTCTCCCGACCGCCAGTACTCAAACGCATCGCAAGAATCCTTCCTATCTACAAGAACCGCATCGCGTCTATCAATTTGACTACGCCACCGCGCTCCAGTCCTGAACGCCGTTTCGTGGTCTCCGCGTCGCATCAGTTCCAGATACCAGCGCGCCTCCGGAAAATCATTTCCACCTCCCCGTCTGCTTCAGAAGCTCAACCTTCAGATGCGCTAAGCCAAGAAGAGCTCCTTAAAGACGACGCCGCTGCTTACTATGGAGACCTTAGTGATGTTTCCGGCGGTAGTATCGCCGGCGCGAATGGCGCTGAAGCGGAGCAGAAGCCAGACGATGCCGCCACGTGTCTTTACTTGATTCGCGTGAAGACAAGTCGAGAGCCTCTTTCCGGCATGTCGTTGCCAAGTGGCGGCGTCCTATTGGCTGTGATTGGAGAAGAGGGTGACACGATTTCGGTGCAAATCCAGCCACAGGATGACTTGGAATCTACGGTTCAGAAGAGCGTTGAGAAAGACGAGCGGACGGACGCTGCAGCCACTGGAGTGTTGCCAGTTGTCGCAACGGCATTCGCTGCAGGACAGACAGCGGAAATTTGTCTGACCGCGCCCAGCATTGGTCCGGTGGTGGCTGCTTGGCTGGCGCCTCAACGTGGCGCCACGTGGCGAGTTGACAGCGTGGCGGTTACTGTTGTCCCCCATAGTGCAGCGGAAAGAAAGGCAGCCTCAGCAGAAGCAGGAGCAGCAGATGTAGTGACAGCACCAGTTGATGCAGCAGTTGATGCCTCAGCAGTAGAATATACGCTCCATCCAGGACCTTACTCCTCCACTTTTCTTGGTGACCCTTCCGGTGGCGGTAACAGTGGTAACCCCGACACACCAACAGCGATTCAATTAAGAGTGGCTCAATCACAAATACTAGATCCCTTGTTTGCTCTGGCAGGACCCGAAACTCCTGCTACGGCTGCCAAATCTGCGGAGGAGGCTCGGAGAAAGAGGGAGGAAGGGTTGAGGGAGTATGAAGAACTGAAGAGGCTGATGCTGCTGGTTACCACAGGGTTGGTGGTTACTGGGACAGGAGCTGCTGGGTGGGTAGGAGGAGTGGACACTGCTGTGGCGTTTGCTGCAGGAGGGGCGGCGGCGTTTGTCTACTTGCTGAGATTGCAGAACCGTGTCGATGAGCTTCCATCGGCCGACTGGACTGACAATGCAAAACCACCTCATATAACAGCATTGGAGGCATCAGGTGAATCGAACACCATGCTTGACACTCCTGGCAGCGGAACGGCGGTGGAAGGAGGAAGCACGGATCCTGAGACTGTTAACCTGGTGCGGAGTATTGGAGTCCGGGCGGCGTTAGCCACTGTAGCCATTGGATCAGCTGTTGCCCTGTTGGGTGGTGTTGGTGGTGGAGAGGGCGATGGGGGCGCCTTGACGGGAGGGTTGCAGGCTCTGAAGATTGAGCCACGGCAGTTTGCTGCGGGTGTGTTAGGCTTCCTTTCTCACAAGCTTGCTCTCGTGCTGGTCGCATTGATGAGTGGGAGTGAGCATACGGATGATTAGTATACCGAGACTGATTATCATCCCGTCATGTTCCCAGGCTGGGTAGATGCAAGGTGGTTGTACCGTATGTTGTATTGTATTTACTGCAATATCTTGTAGAGAAAAATTGTGATATCCAGTGTATTTGTTTTTCTAGCATGAGCCCTCTGTTCTCTCCTCCAGCTTAGGCTTCATGTGAGCATTTTGATTGGTATATGCAGGTCTGCAAGTTGTTTTCTTAGTTTATGATCTGTAGTGTAATCTCCCTAGATGTTACGGGTGCAATGAATCGAGGTAGCGAGAATTGCACTAAGGTGTCAAACGAGTACAAAATGTGAGCGAAGGCATGAGCGAACATTTATACGCGAAACATGCAAAACGGTAACGCGGTGCGTGCGAGCTGGCTAGTGCTACGCTGGAGCGAGGCTCGGGCTAGTCCCGAAGCGTAGGCCGATGCGGCCATGCCAGCAGTGCGAGGTTTGGCAAAACAGTGCGCGCGAAGTCGGCGAAGTTCCGTTAGCAGTAACGGGCGAACAATCGGCTGTTGCTGTACGCGATGTAGTCGGCTCCGTAAGGAATGCCGAGAAAATTCCTTACACTACCCCCCCCCTCAAGAAGCCCCCTCCGCTACGCGAGTGCGTGTATATCGCGGAATCCCCGGCTCCTCAGGTACACTTGCAGGGCAGGGTGATTTTCGATGTTGCTCAGGGGCACCCAGCTATCTTCAGTTGGCGTGCGGTCTTTCCAGCGAACGAGGAATTCAATCCTCCGGATTCCCGTGGGGTGGCGGATCCGATGGCTCAGAATTTTTTCGGGCTCGATGATCGGCTCTGATGTAGGGCGAGTCATTGATTGTGGCCGGTGACGCGGCAGTTGACTTGTGGTCGGGATGTATGGGCGAAGTAGGCTGACGTGGAACGAAGGGCTGATGTACCAGTCGGTTGGCAACAGTAGGTGCGCGGTGACGGGTGTGATCATATGACTGATTTGGAAGGGTCCACAGTAGCGCGGTCGTAATTTTGGTACGTCGGGCAGTCGCAGATTTTGCGTGTCGACTAGCACGTAATCTCCAGATTGATACGTGACGGGGCGGCGGTGGCGATCAGCGTTGCGCTTAGCGATGACGTTGGCCTTTTTTATTGCTTCGGCGGCTCTGGCGCGGGCAGCTTGCAGGATTTCGGCGAATTGTTGTGCACGTGGCGTTGGGTTGTCCGGACTCGGCGTCATGGGCACTGTGGGGTTTTGCCCATAGTTCAGGTAGAACGGGGACTGCTGCGTCGTGGCGGATGTGGCGTTGTTGTACGCGAACTCGATCAGCGGCAACTGCTGCTCCCAGGTCGTGGGGTCGTCGCACGTGGCACGAATCAACTGCTCCATCGTCTGATTCGTCCGCTCCGTTTGGCCGTCGGTCTCGGGGTGGTACGACGAACTGAACTGTAGCCTGGTCCCGAACTGCTCCCAGAGGTTCTTCCAGAAGTTGCTGGTAAACTTCGTGTCCCTGTCGCTGATGATTGCTGCTGGTATCCCGTGCAGGCGAACAACGGCTGCGATGAACAGGCGAGCGGTCTCCTCGGCTGAGATCGACTTTTTGCACGCAGCGAAGTGTGCCATCTTTGTCAGCCTATCCACGACGACCATCACCGCGTCGTTACCCCCAGGGTTCGAAGGTAACCCTGTGACGAAGTCCATGGTTACTTGCTGCCAGGCGCGTTCGGGCGGTGGGATCGGCTGCAATTGACCCGCCTTCCGCTTCCTTGAACTCTTCATCACCTGACACGTCGGGCACGAGCCCACGTGCTGCTGTACGTCGGTCAACAGCTCCGGCCAATAATAATACCGCTGTAGTTGCTGTCGCGTTTTTTCGACCCCGAAATGTCCCGAGGTAATCCCGTCGTGTGCCTCCTGCAGTAGCAGCTCCCTCAGTAGTGAGTACGCGGGTACCCAAATGCGGTTGGTGCCTGTTTTTACGTAATAGACTCCTTTTGCTTCTGCCAGTTGCTGTGAATTTCCGGTCGTGAAAAATGGGTCGGTGCGGTATCCGTGGGTGAATAGGCCAGTTAAAAGCGGGTTGGTCTGGGCGAGTAGGATGGCGTGGAGTTGAGCGGTGGGGCGGGTGAGAGTGTCGGCGACGTTGGATGCTCCTTTTTTGTATGTGACGGTGTAGTGAAAATTGGACTCGAGATAGTCCAACCAGCGAATCTGTCGTGGGTTGAGATTCGGTTGAGCGCGAAGGTACTGTAGCGAGCGGTGGTCTGTCCGTACTGTCACGTCGGCGCCAGTCAGGTAACACCGCCAAACTTTGAACGCGTGCACGATCGCTAGCATCTCGCGGTCGTGTATCGGGTAGTTACGTTCGGGCGGGTGCAGTTTGCGGGACTCGTACGCGATTGGCTGGAGGCCGTTCCCGAAGTCCTGCAACAGTACTGCTCCCACGGCGATGTCACTTGCGTCGGTGACGAGTTCGAACGGACGGTGGGGATCTGCAATGTGAAGGACGGGCGGGGAGCACAAAATATTTTTGAGGGCCGAGAAGGCAGCTTGCTCTTTCTCCCCCCACGTGTACTCAACCCCCTTCCTCAGCAGGTCGGTCAACGGGGCAGTCAACTTCGCCATGTCGGGGACGAACCGGCGCACGTAGTTGACGAACCCCAGGAAACTCTGCAACTCGGTCAAGTTGGTCGGCGCGTGCCAAGCCTGAATCGTCGCAATTTTCTTCGGGTCTATTTCCACTCCTGCAGCTGAAATAACATGTCCCAAAAACTCCAGGCGGTCCTGTAAAAATTCACACTTAGATGCTTTGGTTAGTAGGCGGTTCTCACTGAGGATTTTAAAAACTGCTTCGATGTCGTGTAAGTGCTGTGCTCTGTCCGGGCTGTAAATCAGTATGTCGTCCAGATAAACGATGACGCACTTATCTAAAAGCGGGCGGAATGCTTCGTTCATGGTCATTTGGAAGGTGGCGGGGGCGTTGGTCAATCCGAATGGCATGACGGTGTATTCGAAGGATCCGTAGCGTGTTCGGAATGCGGTTTTAGGGCAGTCGGGTGGATTAACGCGGATTTGGTGGTAGCCTCCCCGGAGGTCAATTTTCGAGAAAACCCGTGCTGTGCGCAGTTGGTCGATCAGTTCGTCGGCTCGTGGGATGGGGTAACGGGATTTAATGGTAACCCTGTTCAGTGCCCTGTAGTCGATACACATGCGAAATCCCCCGTCTTTTTTCGGTGTGAACAATATGGGTGCGGCGAAGGGCGACGAACTAGGGCGAATGAATTCCTTCTCGAGCAGGTAATCGAGCTGCTTCCTCAGTTCGTCCAGTTCGGGTTGGGTCAGTCGGAACTGTCGCTGTACTGTTGGCTGTGCCCCCGGTTCCAGTTCTATCCTGTGATCGTGCGGTCGCTGAGGTGGCAGTCCCGTCGGCAGGTCGTCCGGGAAAATGTCACTGTACTGTTTTAACAGTGCCGCCAGGTCACTCGGTACGTCGGTCAGCAGTTTCTGTAAATCGCCCCCCTTGTCTGCTGCCTCGGCTTCCCGAATGTCAACCGCGTACACGTCAGCTCCGGCCGCTACAGCGCGTTTCATCGTGATCGCATTGACACGCACCGACGAAGACTCAGGCGAGCCCCAGCGAGGTAAGGCGATGTTGTTACCGTTTACTCGCACGGTGCAGTCACCCGTCGTCCAGTCAATTCGCGGATTGTGTCGTCGCAGCCAATCACGCCCGAGTAAAATGTCGGTTCCGTCGAGGGTCGTCGCGAGCATTTCCTGACTAAACATGAAGTTACCCCCGCATCGAATCCGGACTCGGTCTACGCGTTCCCGTATTGCCAGCGGCGTGCCGTCTACCAGTCGTGCGTCGATCTCAGGTAAGCATCGGTCCAGTGGCAGTCGCAATTTTCGTGCTGTAGCAGTGTTAATGAGGCTGTGGCTGGCTCCCCTGTCTACGAAGATTTTAACTAAGTCCGTCCCAATTTTCCCACTGAGCAGTATAGGGCTGTCTACCGTGGTACCCTCCTTATTCGGCCGGGTGTGGTCGATTGCGTGAACCGGCACAATCACTCGGTGAGGGTCGGTTGGGTCGGGCGAGCGGCGTGACCTGTCAGTAGAGGGCCCGTCTGCTACTGACTTCCAGCGTTTCCCTGCTGCTTGGTCTGTGTCTGCTGCTCGCCGCCGATGTAGCGGTCGATGCGTTCGCTCTCATGCATGTAGCCCACCTGCTCGCATAGCGCCAGAAATCCGCTCGTGTAATCCTGGACGGAACCGAGTTGGCGCCAAGTGCGGAGCTTCTGTCGCGCCGAGATCGAGGCCGCGATTGGCTCAAATCGAGCGCGCAGACCTGCGCACCACGCGTCCCACGTGCGATACTGGGGCACCTCCACGAAATACGACGGCGCCCAGGGTCCGGTTTGTCCTTCCCGTGTCGGTAGTGTCGCGTAGTCGGTCGGCTTCGTGACGATGACGCGCCACCAATCCATGGCGGGTCCTCGCAGCAACGACACGGCGTATCGAATCTTCGCCGAGTCCTCCGAGACGTAGTTGGCGTCGAAGAAAACATTCATTGTGAACAACCACGCCTGGACGGTAGGACCACCCCGTTGACTCGGGTCAAAGCATGGCGGGCGCTGTGGCTTCAGCGGCATCGGTGACGGCAGTCCCGAATCGTGGGTTGGTGCCGAAATCGTGACGCGAGGCTGACTTGGGGCTGCAGGCGTCGCTCTGGGGTGTGTCGTGCCGTGGTCGTCGTCTCCGTCGGGGCGGACGACGCCATCACTGGCCGCGCTCGCGGGTTGCCCCACACTCCCGTGTTGTGATGTTGAGGGTGCGGGTTGAATCGGAGTGCCAGGTGCTTGAGATTGTGCTCTCAGGAGGTCATTTTGCAGTGATGAGCGTTCTGCCGTCAATGCCGCGATTTCCTCGGAGCTTTCGTGCAGTTGTCGCAGCAGATCGTTCAAACGCTCCTGCGTGAGAGTGGTGACGTCGATGTTTTCGGCCATGACGAAGGGCGTCGGCTCGTCTTAGTCTAGGCGCAGTCGTGGCTGCACGCGTTTACGAGAGAACGCGAGGACAGCGGCTCCTAGGGGCTAAGGTGCGTGAGTCCCTTCGAGTGAAAAATCAAAAGTTGATTTCCTGGTGTGCGGAGATGCGCGGTCCGAAAAGAAAGGGGCTCTGATAACCAAGTGTTACGGGTGCAATGAATCGAGGTAGCGAGAATTGCACTAAGGTGTCAAACGAGTACAAAATGTGAGCGAAGGCATGAGCGAACATTTATACGCGAAACATGCAAAACGGTAACGCGGTGCGTGCGAGCTGGCTAGTGCTACGCTGGAGCGAGGCTCGGGCTAGTCCCGAAGCGTAGGCCGATGCGGCCATGCCAGCAGTGCGAGGTTTGGCAAAACAGTGCGCGCGAAGTCGGCGAAGTTCCGTTAGCAGTAACGGGCGAACAATCGGCTGTTGCTGTACGCGATGTAGTCGGCTCCGTAAGGAATGCCGAGAAAATTCCTTACACTAGACGTGTAGTGTGAAGTAATGGGCAACTTCTCGACGAATCGGGGACCTAGAAGCTCCAAAGCGCCGTCGATCTGACTGGTTACTCACGGATGATCGCCACGTCCGCAGAAAGGAAAGTTCTCGAGACGCGCAATGCGAGTTCCCGTGCCGCACTTCAGCCCAATGTCAAGAGATTGCGTTGCGAGGCCTATCTTTCAGGTTCCAGCAGCTTCTCGATTTGTGAAATGAAAGCCATCCCTTGCATTCCACAAAGTCTGGCAGCTTCTCGAATCCCAGCTACTGGGCATTTTCACGTCCCTCAGTGGCTACATAAATGGACGGACTCGCTGTTTCGAACTCATCAAACTGCTATCAGCTTTCAACTCTCTGTCAACCATTACGCTCTCACGCCTGTCCAGCCTCGACCTAAACTAGCTCTCTGACACTTAGTGACATTCACTCGGCAAAGGATTCTGTCCGCTCTTCGTTTTACTGATCACACTACCTGAGAACTAATTCCCCATATCTCAGCCATGGCGAAAGAAGAAGGCCCTGCCATTGGAATCGACCTCGGCACTACCTACAGCTGCGTGGGCGTGTGGCAGCACGATCGCGTTGAGATCATCGCCAACGACCAAGGCAACCGCACCACCCCGTCCTACGTGGCATTCACTGACACGGAGCGCTTGATTGGCGATGCGGCGAAGAATCAAGTGTCCATGAACCCTGTCAACACCGTTTTCGGTACGTCACGTGCTGATTCATCCACCATTTCCGACACTCCGATTCCTCTACCCCTACTTCCTACTTCCGCACTGAATTATTGCATACCTTGAATGTGCCTGCCCTCGCTGCTCGTCGGTTCAACTGTTTCTCACTTCATTTTCTTCACTCGTTTTGCTTACAGATGCGAAGCGTCTCATCGGGCGGCGGTTCTCTGACGCGCCCGTGCAGAACGACATCAAACTGTGGCCGTTCAAGGTGATCGCAGGCGCGGGCGAGAAGCCGATGATCCAAGTCGAGTACAAGGGCGAGACGAAGCAGTTCGCCGCGGAAGAAATCTCGTCCATGGTGCTAACGAAAATGAAGGAGATCGCAGAGGCTTACCTTGGAACTACCGTGAAAAACGCGGTGGTGACGGTTCCGGCGTATTTTAACGATTCTCAGCGCCAAGCAACGAAAGACGCGGGTGTGATCGCTGGGCTGAACGTGATGCGGATTATCAACGAGCCGACTGCAGCTGCTATCGCGTACGGGCTCGATAAGAAGAACAGCAGCTCATCGGAGAAGAACGTGCTTATCTTCGATCTCGGGGGGGGTACTTTCGACGTGTCGCTTCTCTCGATTGAGGACGGTATTTTCGAGGTGAAGGCGACGGCTGGAGACACGCATTTGGGTGGCGAAGATTTTGACAACCGCATGGTGAACCACTTCGTCCAGGAATTCAAGCGGAAGTACAAGAAGGACCTCAGTAACAACCCGCGGTCTCTTCGCCGCCTTCGCACGGCCTGCGAGCGCGCCAAGCGAACTCTCTCCTCCACCGCGCAAACGACCATCGAGATCGACTCGCTGTACGAGGGAATCGACTTTTACACCACCATCACTCGCGCACGCTTCGAGGAGCTGAACATGGATATGTTTCGAAAGTGCATGGATCCTGTGGAAAAATGCCTCAAGGACGCGAAAATGTCCAAGATGCAGATCCACGACGTGGTGCTCGTCGGCGGCTCCACGCGCATTCCCAAGGTGCAGCAGCTGCTACAGGAGTACTTCAACGGGAAGGAGCTCTGCAAGAGCATTAATCCTGACGAGGCTGTGGCGTACGGCGCGGCGGTTCAGGCGGCGATTCTGAGCGGCGAGGGGAACGAGAAGGTGCAGGACCTGCTGCTGCTCGACGTGACGCCGCTCTCGCTTGGATTGGAGACGGCTGGAGGGGTAATGACGGTGCTGATTCCGCGGAACACCACGATTCCGACGAAGAAAGAGCAGATTTTCTCGACTTTTTCGGATAATCAGCCGGGAGTGCTGATTCAGGTCTACGAAGGTGAACGCGCTCGGACCAAGGATAATAATCTACTCGGGAAATTCGAACTCTCGGGAATTCCGCCGGCGCCGCGTGGCGTGCCGCAGATCACCGTGACGTTCGACATTGACGCGAACGGTATTCTAAACGTGAGCGCGGAGGACAAGACTACGGGGCAGAAGAGTAAGATTACCATTACGAACGACAAGGGCCGACTGAGCAAGGAGGAAATCGAGCGGATGGTGGAGGAAGCGGAGAAGTACAAGGACGACGACGAGCAGCACAAGAAACGGGTTGAGGCGAAAAACGCGCTCGAGAATTACTCGTACGGCATGCGTAACACCGTTCGCGACGACAACATCGGGGGGAAGCTGTCGCCTGAAGATAAGAAGGCGATCGAGAAGGCCGTAGATGAGACGATTGATTGGCTGGACAAGAACCAGCTCGCTGACGTGGACGAATTCGAGGACAAGCAAAAGGAGCTCGAAAGCATTTGTAACCCGATCATCGCGAAAATGTACCAGGCTGGAGGTGGACCAGTGCCAGGAGCAGGAGGTGTGGGGGATGTGCCTAGGAGAGGTGGTTTTCCTGGAGGAAGCGACGGGCCGAAGATTGAGGAGGTTGACTGAGGGATGAGTGAGGTGGGGTGGGGAGAGGAGTGGCCAAATCTGAACTGGACCGTATGCCTCCTTGGTGAATATATTTGTAAATTATGAACTATTGAGTCCTAGTAATATTTCATGTTTCAGAGGTGTAGGTGTAACGTATACTTTTGCTCAAGACTTCAACAAGCATCTAGTCAACTACTGGCGTTTCTATTACTCCACAGAAGTGTCCCTGCACAAACAAAAATGATGGTAGTCAGTGCTTAGGTGGGAAAGGTGCATAGGTTTTGTTCGTGTCTGAATTCTATCGCTCCCATGCTTCTCCACACTGACGAATGCCCACCTGCTCACCCCCTGTGTGGTGCTACTCACATTTGCGCAAATAGCCAAGGAAACTGGCTTGAGAGGGCTGCTTGTGGCCTGTTCCATTGCATTCCAAACCTGCGTGTGCAATTCACAATCTCAAGTATGAGGCAGTGAGACGTGCGGATGGAGTGTCTAATTTCACTGCGAGCTGAATCCATCTAATACAACAATGGGAGTGCTACTTACCCTGCAATAGCAAAAAGGACACTCCTCCTCTGTACCAAAAGGACATAGGGAGAGCTCATGATACAGCCTGCAAAATTGATGGGATAAGACAGCTCATGGGCGGATCATGGCACAAGGTTGCTTAATCAGGATTCGACCCTTGTTAGAAAAAGACAAGCATGGGAGGAAAATGGAGTGAGCGAGGTCCAAAAGAATGGGGCAGTAGTTCATACCCGGTGGGTGTGTGGCAGAAATGTGGGATGGCAAAAACGGAAAGGAGAAAAGTAGAAAGACAAGCAAGGCAGCGACAGAGGAGTGAGGGAGGTGCAAGGGAGCAACGGCGTGCTGACTAAGCACCTGGTGCGTGTGAAGTCAGAAATGTAACCCTGGCAGACCGAAACATCCCAAACATTGACCGAGGTCTTGAGCAGAGCAAACGACACTCCTGCCACCTTCTCAGCTTGAGAGGAGTCGTCAGCAGAGGGGAAACGGTCAACCTGCCTGTAACAGCCAGCTGGACTTCCAGAGGCATCACAAACACTCAACCTGTTTGGCATAAAGAGTTCTTTTACGTCTAGCCTAACAGAACGACGAGGGACTTCGTCTAGCTTGCCGATCAACCCTAGATACCGCCAGTCTTGGTTATGAAAAGCCATTACTTCCTTTACCGCTGCCCGCCCTTCTGCCCGCAAAAACCATACGTTACCATTAGCAGCCACCCCTGTAGCCAGATTTCGCTTGTGTGCAGGTTCCATCTTGCCATTCTCCAAGATTCCCTCATTACACTTAGCTGCTGCTTTTGCCGCTGCTGTTTCTGCTGCTGCTGCTGTTGTTTCTGCTGCAACTGCTGATTCCGCTGCTTCTGCTGCTGCTACAGCTGCTGTTTCCTCTGCTGCTGTGACCAGCTCTTGAATCGTATTTACACTACCTTGAGAATGTCTTGGAGTTGTGGGTCTCAGGTTCGCTCCAACTCCTACTGCTTCGAGCGCCCTTGCTTGACTTTGTGCTCGCCTGAAGGCTGCTGCCGCTGCTCTTGCTGCGACTGCTTCTGCTGTTGCTTCTGCTGCTGCTGCTTCTGCTGCTGCTACTGCCGCTGCTTCTCTTTCTGCTGCCTCTGCTGCTGCTGCTTCTCTGCTTTGCATGAACCTCTGAGCAGCGCGCCGCCCTCCCTTGACAACCTTATTAGCAGTACGAAAAGCACTCCGACCCCCTTTCCATGCAGCATAGAAAGCACAGCGAGACCCCACGACCCCCAGGTACAGTGGGAGCACGAGAGCAAAGAGCGCTCCAGATGCAACAATTGTCACAGCTATGTAGCTCCCTCTTTTAGCCGCCTTAAAAGCACGTCCCGCCTTGGTAACTACACGCTTGCAAATACTTGACAACAGTGCACCTTGGGTTTCATCTTCGGCGACATTGTCTGGCGGCAGAGGGAGCCGCGTACGGAACATGGGCCTAAGACACAGATTCATGATGTCTGGAGTGCGCAGGCTGAAGGGCACCTCGAGAATACCGGGAGCGTAACTGAGAAGACGGGGAGAAACCGCCTCAACGGGACCAACCAGTGTGTCACTGACCACAACACAGTTCAGCGGGTATTTCTTTCTACAGTAACCGCACAGATCAGAAAAGCAGCACCGGCGGTCCTCATCTGCATCATAGGATCGCTCCTCATGAGGGTTCTGAAATACTGGTTTGTGGTGTGCTTTTATGCGGTTGCGACAGTAGAGAGGCCAGAGGTGGGAAGTTGATATCTGGTGCAGGTGCTTGCATGTGAGGGCTAGGTTGGCGATGGTGATTCGAAGCTGCCAGCATGTCATACTCGCTATAGACACAAGGATTTCGGGACTCAGATCCAGCAATCCGGTTAGGCGGCCTTCGTTATCGACCGTTTTGTTCCCCATTCCTAAGGAAAACCGTTCACTTCACAAGTGCCACAGCAGCTAGAGAATTACTGATCTTGGTCTGAAATTAAGGACGGTATCACCCAAAAGCGCACATGGATAAAAGACAGAGGAAAGTGGTAAACAGTCTCACTCCAATAGTTTACGGTCGCGTGTTACCGATCTTGGTCTGGGGTCAAGGACGGTCTCTCCCAGAAGCGCACATAGGAGGCTAAGAGATAGTTGAAGAAAGTAAAACTGCTCGGAACTACCAGACGTGTCGCACTCCTCCGTCCGTGTGCTAGACGCATACGCCTTTCATCGCATAAAGGGAAGAAGGCAATATTATGGCAAAGAGCTGGACTCGAATCTTATATTTTTACTTTCGAGATGTACCGCATGATTCATTCGTAGAGCAAACGAAAGTAAAGCTCCGGCACAATACTAAATCTATTCTTGCGCGCAACCGGGAATCGGGTAATAGAACTAAACTCACTAACATACTGCATACGACAGCTTGTGGACAGAGCGCGACTGGTAATACGTGAAGCATTCTTGCGGTAAACTGCTGAAACTTGCAAGATGGGTAAGCATTCTTGCTGAAACTGCTGAAAGTAGTTGGGAAAGGTGGGTGTGGAATACCGAGACTCGGACGAGAATGAGGATCTGACAGCGAAGAAACCAGACAAACCCACAAAACCGATTTCGGCTGACATTGACTCGGCATGCAAAGCGAAGAATTGACCTGGGAAGAAGCGCCGGGAAATACTCGCTGTAGGAACGAACTCGAAGCGGTAGTTAAAAGCGTACAATGATTATAAACGTACCGTATGCATGTGCTCATTGCAATTCATCAAATCCAAATTTCTCTCCACATTCATAGAGCTATCCAGCCAGCCAGTTTAGTCCACCATACAGCATCTCCATCAAACTATCAACATTACAGATGCTTAAAGTTTGAAACAAAGCATCTAAGTTAAATTGAGACAACCTTGTCGAGTAGGTAAATGAACGTCTAGTTATGGAACATTAATGTAGGGACACAAGTGTCACAATGCCCCTTTTCCCGAGTCACGTCGAAATAATTTGCCAAACTCGCGTCACAAATATTAAATGTTGTTGGAAACAATAAGTCTTAGTGCGCTTCTGTCGTGTCAAAACCCAAGACACTAGCGAAGCAGTCCGAATCGAAGCATCGAGTCAAACCTCGGAGGTTAGGGTAACCGCCTGGAGGTTACGGGAAAGTCAAAGGTCAGCGACCTTTGACTCGACAATTACAGCGCGACAGTTAAGGACACACAACTGACTCGTTACAGAGCAGTTGCCCGAGTCGCACTGTATCGAATCGCAACAGCAAATACAGTTATCTATCCATTCGTATTCCCTGTACTTTTATATAAAAACTTGTATTTGCTTGTTTAATTTAATCCACTTTGCTCTCACACACTAGTGCAAGGTCGGTTCACAAACTTCATTAAACGCTTCCGCTATTACAAATATCCTACCCAGAGTTATCCTCTGCAAAGATCCTTAAGGGCTTTCTCAGCCCAACATGGTATGAGAGCTGACAGGGGAAAACTCTAACTTTTTGATCATTACAAGACATGGCAACAAACAAGGAAAGGAGCTCCCCTAATGGCTCCTCGGGCACTACTCCTACTCCACCACCAGCCTCTGGCCTGCAGACAGAGGAAGGCACGGCAGCAAGACCAAGGGGAACGTCAACCGAGACCCCCACGAACCATCCTTCTGACTTCGACCAGAACATGATGGAGAAATTTTTCTCCTTCATGTCCTTCTACGAGCAACACCAGCAGTCGGGACCTGCACAGACACACAACAGCAACAACGGAGCGACACCCATGAGCCTTGACGGATCGTCATATGCGCGAGGGAATCAACAGCAGCAACCCACCTTTGCCCCGTACGAGCGCGGGTCGATCAGCTTCCTGCCTCAACCTTCACTTGCGCAAGACCAACCAATGGACGCTTTACAAGTTCAGTCACAATTCGCGCATGTCCTGAAACTGCAAACATCAAGACCCTTCGACGGAAAGGACTTCTTCACCTGGTCCTTTGAATTCGAGCTGATGATGGAGGGCGCGCAGATACTCGGCTTCTTCGACGGATCCCTGCAGTATCCAGCAAACGGCACACAGTATGAGAAACAGCAGTATACGTATCAATCGATGATGGCGTATACTATTCTACTGAGAAACATCACACCAACTCAGCAGCAGAACATTCGCTCTTACCGGAACTTCGGCAACTCGGCGGAACTCGCGTACGGCCATCTGAAGAACCTGTATCAGGCAACAGACAGTGTAAGCCAGAGCAGGTTAATGGCGCAATTGACAACAGTTGAAATGAAACCAGGAGAAAAGGGACTGGCGTATATCAGCCGATGTCGCGAATTGCGCGACAAGCTTCTTCGGTGCGGAGGATCAATCTCTGAAGACGCCTTCGTGACAGTCATCATCAGTGGCCTCGGTCCTCAGTGGCGCGCCACCAAAGCAATTCTTCGAGCACACGGGAGGATTTCCGAAGCGGCACTCTGCGCCGAAATCCACGCCGAGCAGCAGGATATGGACCTGCAAGAAGAAAGGCACAAGAAAAGGGCATTAGCACCGGAGTTCGCTTTCCATACTCAGCGACGACACAACAACTACAACAACCGACAGCAACAGCCGAAGCTAGTACCTCCGTTTTGTCACATCTGCAAAACATCAGGACATCCACGCACGCATTGCCCGTCCCGTCAGACAACACCACAGCGACAACTGCGGCCTTCAAGCTCCCAAGTTGCTTCGACACAAGCAAGTCCGACAACCACGATTCAAGCTTCAACGACTTCAACTGGACAACCTGCACAAGGAGCAAGAAACATAGTCAACTGCATGGTCAAGATAAACGATTCTTGCATAACAGAGTCACCACCCCACTACTCACCAGAAGAGGAGCTCGACAACAGGACGCCCCGCCGCGAATCACTCCACCCGAATCCGACTTACGCCGCCATCGCTCAAAGTGAACCGTCCGGCCAAGACACTTGGTTCTTGGATAGTTGCTGCGGGCAACACATGTGCTCGTCCGGACGCTTCGTACAACGCGAACACCGACTCCAACGAGAAGTTGTCATCACGGTCGCCAACAATCAAAACCTGCGCACACGACGACAAGGAGTGGCACAGCTTCAGTCAAGAGAAACAAATGTCATACTGCACATGTCAAAGGTACTCATCGCTGAAGGACTCGGTTACAACTTACTGAGTGTTAGCCAGTTGATGGCGAAGGGGATTCACCTGGAAGCCGACAGCACCACCCAAGAGTTCAAGCTATACCACGGGAGAGGCGGTCTCTACATCGGGAAAGCAGTATTGAAGAACAATGTCTTCGTCCTCGACTTCGTTCCTGACCTGGGCACTGCAGACAGCGACGCCATCGTGAATTTTACCGACTGGACACACCCACCGAATCTCGACCCCGACTTCAGCCCGGGAGGTTTTTGGTACTCCCACACTATCCCTGAAGCAGAACGAACACGAGCGTTAGCGACGATTCAACAAACAACATCGGCAGCAGCAACAACATCGGCAGCAGCAGCAACAACATCGGGAGCAGCGACAACATCAGCAGCATCAGGAACAACGACACCACCAACACCCGCACAACAG